CTCTGCCTGGGTTGGCCAACACGCAACCTGAAACCACAGACCGCCAAACTCCTGGGTTGCCTCTCTCAGGCTTTGCCGAGCTGAAAAAAAAAGAAATTCGCGCGAGCTGGCCAAGATCTGCAAGCGTTCAAGGGCCTTTTTGGGGGTTGGAGAAACTCCAGGATCTGGAAATGCTTGTGTAAACTTGGAGAAACAGATTTCCAAACTCATCTCAAGCCTGTTGGGAGACCCATCGCCAATTCACTAGAAACGGATGAAAACGTGGCTGCCTCCCATTGCTTCGGACCAATGAAGGGAAATGACACCGATTTTCCACGCAGACCGAGGTGACCTATCGGACGCAAAGCCCACGTCAATTTAATTGCCGGGGCTTTGTCACCCAAAGTGAGGCCAGATGACATGCCCGCTCAAAAAGGAAAAGTTCAAACCCCCGTCCCTTCAAACCAAACCGAACTTCAAGCTCCAAGCTGCGGACACCATCGATTCAACCACCGATTTAAACCGTGTTCCACACTTTGTTGACACAAGCTCCTGCGGTGTTCCCTTCAAAGGGGGGAGGTGTCTTCTTTAAACACTCGCAGCCTGGCGGAACGCCTCCCAAAACAAGCAAGAGCCCCTTGCTGGCTCAATCCTTTGGTTGCCTTTCGGCAGTTGGTGGGGGCCTCTTTCGGGAACTTCCACCAGAAATCTTCACTTCGCTTGACGAGGCGCCATGGAGGAGAAGCCGGGAAAACTGGCTGCGGCTCAGCACAACTAAAGCCAGGCTCCCGGCCGAGCGCAAAATGCAATTTTTCCGCAACGACTGCTTTGGCTCGGCCCTTTAGCTTGGAAAGTGGGGCCTTCAGATGGCAGGCTTTGCAGCTGTGAGGATAGCCTGTGGTCATTGGTCTAAAGAAACCAACAGGGCGAAGAACAGACGAACTTCACCTTCTATCTCTAAGACCAACAGGCTTTGGATGAACTCCTCCGTCGACCAGCGGTTTCGAGCCCCAGCTCCAAAGCTTCGACTTCTTGGTCTTGGCACGTGGGGGTCGCCACGGGCCATGGGCCGACTCCGTTGGCCCAAGGACTCCTCGACCCGAACCGGGGGTCCCCCAAGTTTCTGTTGCTCCCGTCGAACACGCCCCAACTCACTCCGGGCTGTGTACCAAGAGCCCCCTAGAAACCGAAAAAAACCCAGCCAGGCCTGAATTTCACAAAAGAAACTGGCAGGAATTTGGGTGTGTCTGTTTTAGGCTTCCCCTTGCTGGATGCAAAGGAGAACCCAAAGGAAAACTGAGCCGCGCCATTTTGGGGGGTTCGATCTCAGGAAAAGAGACGAACCACCCATGGAAGTCGGGGACTTTCCTGAAATGCGACGGTCTCCACTTCACCTGCTTGGCTCCCCCCAATAAAAGTTTCAAGCTGTGTGTATGTGTGATGGAATAGTATCTCTGTGAGTGTTTGTGTGTGTATGTGTAAGTTTACATGCGAAACATATCTTCACGTGAACCGAGATTTGTATAAACATGTATGTATCAATGTGGGTGTATATATATATATATGTGAATATACACGTACATACAGGCAGGGCACGGAGAGAGAAAGAAAGAAAGAAAGAAAGAAAGAAAGAAAGAAAGAAAGAAAGAAAGAAAGAAAGAAAGAAAGAATGAATGAAAGAAAGAAAGAAAGAAAGAAAGAAAAAAAGAAATAAAGAAAGAAAGAAAGAAAGAAAGAAAGAAGAAAGAAAGGAAGGAAGGAAGGAAGGAAGGAAGGAAGGGAAGAAAAGAAAGAAATAAACAAAGAAAGAAAGGAAGGGAAGAAAAGAAAGAAAAAGACAAAGAAAGAAAGGAAGGAAGAAAGAAAGAAAGAAAGAAGAAAGAAGAAAGAAAGGAAGGAAGGAAGAAAGAAAGGAAACAAGCAAACAACAAGGAAACAAGGAAACAAGGAAACAAGGAAACAAGGAAACAAGGAAACAAGGAAACAAGGAAACAAGGAAACAAGGAAACAAGGAAACAAGAAAGGAAGGAAGGAAGGAAGGAAGGAAGGAAGGAATAAAGAAAGAAAGAAAGAAAGAAAGAAAGAAAGAAAGAAAGAAGAAAGAAGGAAGGAAGGAAGGAAGGAAGGGAAGAAAAGAAAGAAATAAACAAAGAAAGAAAGGAATGGAAGAAAAGAAAGAAATAAACAAAGAAAGAAAGGAAGGAAGGAAGAAAGAAAGAAAGAAAGAAGAAAGAAGAAAGAAAGGAAGGAAGGAAGAAAGAAAGGAAACAAGGAAACAACAAGGAAACAAGGAAACAAGGAAACAAGGAAACAAGGAAACAGGGAAACAAGGAAACAAGGAAACAAGGAAACAAGGAAACAAGGAAACAAGGAAGGAAGAAAGGAAGAAAGAAAGAAGGAAAGAAGGAAAGAAGGAAAACATGAAAAGAAAAACAAGGCCAAAACAAACACACAAAAAGGAAAGGAGAAGAACGCGAAAGTACCGATGTGATGTCATCCGTGTCTCGGTCTCCGGTCTCCGGCCCAAACGCTCGTGACCTTGAGGCTTTGGCTTGGAACTGCTTCACCGGGTCAGCCCATGGCTCCTGTCCGTGCCACCTGCCTGGTGTCCCTATAATTTTCCCCTCAGAACCTCACCCCACCGGGGAAAAAAAACTCTACCAAAAAAAAACTGTCCCGTCTCATGGGAAAGATTGGCGATATTCAAAACCGCCTAAAAGGTTTTGAGAATCTAGGGACCCTGGTACCTGGTTTAGTGGGGAATCAGACCACCCCCCGATTCAGAAACTGGGGTTGATTCATATGGGGTCAACAGTGTGGGAAACCCAGAGCCAATAAGGCCCCCCAAAGACGTGAAGCATCAGCCGTGGCTTGGATGGGTGGATCGGATGCGAAATCTCTGGGGAGATGTGGGCGCGGGGAAAGCAAACACACGGCGCCTACCATTGGGGGGGGAGATCAGGTGCCTCGCAGAAAATTTGAACATCGAGAAGCCAACGTTGTCCTGTTCCAGGAATCTTGGGATGACAAACATTTGGATCCGATGAAGTATGCCAGCAAATGAAAGCATATGGCCAACGACCGAAGTGCGCCCAAACCACTGCAAAGACATACATGTTGGAATGGCCGAGCCAGCGATCTCGTTGTGAGTCAGGATCCCCCCCGCCTCGAAGTGGAGAGCAACAGTGACGCCCAAAGGTGGTTTGGATTTGTGAATTGGAGGTTAGGAGTGGTTTCCCATTTTACCCCTACAAGACCTAGGGGTTCAAGTCCCCAAACAACCAATCCAAACCACCAATTGGGCACCCTGATAACATGCGAGAGAGCCCAAAAACAGCGGGTGGCAAAGGCTGCTGAAGGGTTGGGCTCCGGACCAAACCAATAAACACCACTGAAGATTGGGACCTTAGGCTCCAATCTTTCAGGGGAAACCAAAACGAAAGGGTGCTTGAACAATGGCTAAACATTGTTTTCTGTCCTCCTCCTCCACCTCCTCGTTGGCCATGGCGCTCGCTATGTCACCCGAAATAGCTGGCTGCAGTGGTTTGGTTTGGTTATATTGACTTGTTTGGCACTCCTCCTGGTGAAAATGGGGGGGGTGCCTTTTATTGAGGGTCGTTTGGTTGGTTTCAACAGGAAGCCAAAAGGAAGCCAACCATTTGCGGATTTGCGGGGTCCCCTGTCACCCAAATCGACCGATTTCGGCCCTCCCTTCTGGGAGCCGAAAGGGCCGGGCCTCACGAGACGGACGTGAAACGCCCACGGAGGGCAATTGATGTATCCCGGTGTCCCTCCCATTCGCGGGCAAGCTGAGGGGAACGAACCCCTTGCAAAACCATGTTCCTCAAGGGACTCATTGGCAGGGGGGTGTAAGTCAAGTCAAATCGAGGTCATAGGTCACGGACCATCAAACCTCAACTCCTACCCCAAAGAGTTTCAAACTTTCACCAGTTTGCCCATCCGAAGCCCCCAAATGTCCTCACACCAAAATCAGTCTCAGCGGCGAAATCATTGGAATGAAGTTCTCGGGCATTAAACCGAAATTCATGCAAACCTCATGACTCTGGGAAATCCGGAACATCCTGGAAGAAATTGCCCTCAAATCCGAATGCCTGCTGACTCTGGGAAAAATCCGAAAGAACTCTGGAGAGGAAGGACAAATGGCCCTCCTACTGTGGGTTGACGAAATCCTACACCATCTAAGAAATGCTAGAATGATTCGATTCCCCTGTAAATACCAACAAACCTTATGGCTTCCCATTGTTTCCACATGGTGCGAATTGGATTCCGTCCACCACAGGACCACTCCTACCTGGGCTGCCCTCAGATCCCCCGCTACAAGTTTAACTTTTAATGGGTTAAATGGAAACTACCACTAAACACGAAAAGGCCCAAAAAAGCTAAGGAACTGGATGGCCGGGAGCCACCAAGCTACCACAACCTTCGGAGGATTGGTCCCAAGGGTCAAGGCCTGCATCGGCTCCCCGCCCAGCTCGAACTGACGCCCGCCGAAGGGGTTGTCCTGCGACAGTTTCGCCGCTGTAATATGGGAATGGGTCAAAGGTAAAGCCACCAGGGGACCGCAGGTGTTCGTCCTTGTTTCCATTTACCAGGATTCCATTTTGGGTACTTCTTTGTTGAGCCACACCCATATCCCAAAAAAATTGCCCAAGAAGGGGATCCCAACAAAAGAAACTCCCCCAAGTGTTGCTTTTGGGGTGTGGGGGGCGGTGGGGGGGGGGGGGGAAATGGGGGTGGGTCAGAGTCCCTGCGAAAAATTGCAGAGGCGTTTTTCGCTTGCAAAAATCACACCAGGCTGCACACAATTTCATCCAGCAGCTGTCGAGCCAGGAGCGTCTGCAGCTCGCACTGAGGGATCTTACTTTCAGATGATGTCGGAGATGTTGATGATGCCATGCTGGCTGGTGCTGGGGGTCATGTTTGACGATAGCTGGTGATGATGGCGCTTCACTGAAACTTGGTTTCTTCCCATGTCCCCAAACGATAGGCTACGAATGATATTCAATGAGAACCCCAAATGGGAAACAAAACCAGAATCTCAGGATGACCCGGAGCACTGGAAAGACGACACCAAAAACTGGGAGCTTTGGGCAACGCAGTTTCGTTCCCCTTCCGCACATGTCACCATCAGCTCCAAGGGATAAACCCTCGTCCCTCCCGCGAAAGGACTCGGAGAGTCCTCCACTCGAAATCCGTAGCGAACTAAGAACCTCGGGCGTTAGCGCCAACAGACTCTGCTCCCGCAAAATTGAGCCCCCCCTCCCCACCCACAAAAAAACGGATGATACTGATTCAACACAAGAACTGGCGCCGACTGTTCTCAAACAAATCGGATCCCAAAACCCCTCCCAGTGGTCTTAGAGTGACGGCAAACAAAAGAAGACCCTCGGTTGATTTCAAAGAAAAGTCCTGCAACCAAAGAGAAGACGCACTGGAGGTCGCAGTGATTGTTTTCGGGGTCCTGGGGAAACAGACACGGCTCAAGACATCTACCAGACATGTCGTGTCCCATCTTGGGCCCCTCCCCAGTTGGCTTCTCCTCTTGGCAGCTATCCACAAGGAGTCCAGTTACACAACGGATTCCAAACTTGCTTCCCTCCCAAAAAGAATCGCTTGAAGCCTGATTCAAAGCTTGAGGGGGGAACTACAGCACCATGAACCAACGAACCAACGAATTTGGATATGACTCAAAAAGGAAGCCTCCTGTGTTTGCGACAGAACCCCTCGTCCCACGCGAAATTCGATGCAAAGCGGCTCAAGGTTGGAAGCCTGCGCGTAGTCGATGCAAAGCTCCTGGGGAGATCAGAAGGAAAACGCCCGTCCGATTTCTGCGGGGTATTCCCTCCAAAAGTGATGAATCCCCACCAAAAAAGCAAAACACCCCATATTCATCCGGGGTTCCCACTACACTCATTTCGGGCTGTTTGACCCAAATGAGACGCCTAACATGGGAAGAAAAACAAAACGCCCTGTGGCGGATGTGTTGCAAGTGGTCTGTATTTCAAATGAGACTTCGGACGAAACCAGCTATTTCGTTCTTTTGTTTGCTCCCTTACATGACAAATGTCGCGTGCGACTTTTCTCAGAAGAATGCGGCACTTCGCGTGCGGCGCTTGCAACTGGACACTCTCCACGGCTCAGCACGTTGCCACATCAGCAAGCTCTCGGGCATCCCCAGCTGCTTGACCTGCGCCAGCTTGGCCGCAGCTGCACCGCTCAGGCCGGCGGGGACGTGAAACGAAGGCACCGACGGCATCCACTGAGGCTTCGCGGGATATTCCAAGGGCGGCACGTCGTAGAGCCGCAGCCCGGCCCGGGTGGCCAGCGTCTCAGGGCGGCGCGCCGACGCGTCCAGGAAGTTCTCCAGGCCCGCGCAGAACCTAAAAGTGGTTCATACGGGGGGGGAAAAAAAAAAAAAACCAAAAAAAACACTTGGCGGGCAAAAAGTTGAAGTCCTAACAGCCCTTGGCCCACTGAGCCAAAGGAATGATCAACCTCGGAAAATTGGGTGGCTCGGGGAAAAAAAACGGAACCTCCGCATCTCCAGGTTGGCGGAGCCATCCGCATCAGAGGCCCTCAGGGCTTTGAGCCGCTTCGCCAGCTGGCCGCAGAACTTCACATAGGGCAGCACGGAGGGGCTCTTCACGGCATAGGCGACCGCATTGACGCGCGACTGCAGCATGGCGGCCTCGGCCTGCTTCCTTGGAACTAGGACCCCAGCACAAAAACAAAAAGATGTCTTGCCTGGTTAGTGGAAAACAAAGGGGACCCCCAAAGAGCAAAAAATAGAAAGGGGAACTAATTCTGGGGAAGCTTCATGGAGGCTCGAGCGATCTCGGCGTGTTTCTCAGCTTCAGCCTGCTGCAGCTTTGCCTCACGCACCGCCTTGCTGCTACTCTGATAGGCTCGGAAGGCTCGACTGGCCCAGCCCGCAGCATCTGTGGGCTCCTCGAACACTTTCGTCCTCTTCCGCTTCACGCCCCAGAAGTCAACGTTTCCCGTCTTCATCTCTGACATGCCAGCCACAACCAAGCCCGTGTGGCAGTGGGCCGCTCCTTCCCAGCTGCATAGCGGCATCGCACTCAATGCTCAAGCCAAACTACGCACCCTCTCTTTCTTTCATCCCTCGTTTTTTTGTCCAGCCGGAACAGACCCCCAAATCGTCCGAGTGGGGGACCGGGGGGGGGGGGGGGTTCAACATCTGCATGTTCCGTGGTAAATGCATACCCTCCAAAGGGGTCTTCCTGCTCGCATCAGCCTCGAAGCCAGCTGGAAAGCACGCAAACCATCCTGCCAAAGGTTGACCCCTCAAGCGAAATGGGAGGGCGTTTTCGAGGGTACCTGTGTAAAAAAGGAAAAAAAAACTTGTTGGGATTTTGGGGCAGGGCATCGAGTGAGTGCCTCTGTTTTGAGTTGATACTCCCCTGCAAATTCAAACGCAACCTAAAGAGGGCATCCCCCAAAAGAAGATTCCTCTAAACATGCTGCGTTTGGGGGTTCAATGTTGGTGTGCTTTATTTCTGAGGCCACCCTTTTTGGGCTTGTGTTCAAGGAGACCCAGCTGGAAACCACCCCACTGTGGCTTGTTCCTGATTTTCTCACTTAGACGCACACCCGCAAGATTTTGCAGGTTGCTCTAAAAAGATGCTCCACCTTGCTTCTTGGGGGGTTCACGCTAGTTTGCAGGAAACCAACCCCCCTTTTTGAGGCCCAGGCTGGGCGATTTCCACCAAAACTCCCACGCTCGGTGCGGGCCAACTGGGCCCCCGACATCTCCGGGCATCACATCCTTCGTAGCCACGAAGCGCAGCGCGTCCTCGAAGGCGGGAGGACCAACTACCCTTGGTTGCTTTCTGCTCTCCTGCTAAAAGTTTAAGTGGTTTAACGGAAAACCCCACTTGGTTGGCAAAAAGTTAAGGTCCTATCATCCAAGCAACATGTAACAAAGTACTGGATCCTCCGGAAGTAACTAGCACAGGTGTTTGGGAAAAATCGATGGGATTCCCAGGAAATGGGGCATAAAGCCCAAACCAGTGCTTAACTAAACTTAACCACACGAACCTAAAAAGGACACCTATGCCAACTACCTTCCCTCGAAGAATCATGGAAGTGGGTGTCGGAGGCTTGCCCAGAAAAACCTCGTCTTGCGTCCATGCCTAGGGAGGACCAACTTCTCCACCCTAAAAGTAGCTGTGAATGGGATTGGCACGTTGAAACCAAAAGCCCCAGTGGGAATCTGCGCAAACATAACATGAGCTTCAGTATTCTTCCAACCAACGTCCATGCCCCTAGGGGGGGTTGAAGGGCGCTCAAAATGAACCAAGCCTCTGACACGGAGCCCAAAAAGCCCCCAAAATTCTTTCTGAAGAGCCTCCTTTGAAGCACCCCTTTTGGGGGTCCCATGATGCTATTTGCTGAGTATGTAGTCGACCATCTCCAATGGCCCAAAAGCCCCTCACATCCAAACTCTGCTGACAGGCAACGCGGCCATGGCCGCGATGCGTAAGAAGAGCCGTTCTTTGGCCACACGTCAGCATTTGAAACATCTTCGTTGACTCACCAAACTCTGTCAACCACAATACCCTCCCAATTACCATGAAACCTGACAGGAGGGGGGGGGTTCCTGGAAGATATTTTTCCTTCTAAGTTGGCGGGAGGGTAATTCTAACCACCAGGCACCCTTCGCCTCTGCCAGTGTTGCAGTTCTGACGCTGGCTACCTCAGCGCACTCCAAAGGCTAGTAAAGCCGCCAGGTGCTCACAATGGAATAATTCGCACTGCCTGGACCTGGAATGAATCAAAAGACCCCTACTGAGTTGGACGAAATCCATTTCGCACCAACGTTCAGAAACCCTGGCATGATTCGATTCCCCAACGTAAATACCAACAAACCATGGTTTCAAAGTGGTGCGAATCGCATTTTGCCCATCCACAGTATTGCCAAGATTGTTTCCAGAAGCAAGCCAGTCCAGTTGTTGTGTTTGTGGTATCGCCCCCTTGAGAGGGGCGTGTAAGTTTGGGGGGGGGGGTGTTGGTGGGTTTGGCGGGGTTTGGGGGTGGGGGGGGGGGTTAGGGGTTTTAGGGGTTTGGGGGTTTGGGGGTTTGGGGGTGGGGGTGGGGGGGGTTGGGGGGGGTTTGGGGGGTGGGTTTAGGGGGGGTTTAGGGGGGGTTTAGGGGGGGTTTGGGGGGGGTTTGGGGGGGGTTTGGGGGGGATGTGCAGTCTTTTTGGGTCATGTCAGAAGGTGGTGAAGCTGTCATGTCAGCACTTCGCTGAGCTGGGTGGACTTGTGCAGTTCTGATCAAGAAGTACAGCCACCCTTTGCAGAGACTGCCGTAGGTGCTCAGCTCGCACTTGCGCGCGCAGAGGACTTTGCGGGAGCGCTCTTTCAACATGTGAATGGTTTCTTCTTAGCTTGCTGGCAGAATGTCTCAACCAAATGCTGTTTTCTCTAAGCCATGACCTTTTTCCCGCGCCAGGGCTTGACTTTTCAGTGCGTTTCACATGTGTTCGGCAAGACGTGAAAAAACATTGCGTACAAGTGAGCCACCGGGCCCAGCAGTTTGTTTCAAGCGCCTTGCTGGCACACAGGCGGCGGATGATCAGCACTGGCGAAAACTCCAAAGCTAGATCCCACGCGCCGCGGCAGACATGGGGTTGAGGCTATAGGTGTCCTTTTTGGCTTAAAATTTGATGGGTTTCCCTGGTAGATGATGGAACCACCAGGGAAACCAGGGATCGCCCTCTATTTTTTCAACCATTTGAATTGCTGTTCCGTTTGAATTGCTCCTGTCGCAATGGCATGGACTCCACCAAAAAAAAGCCAACCAAACCAAAAAGGACACCTATGGTTCTGGGATTACTTTTGGTCCTAGTGTCGAACGCTGGCGGGCAGATTGATCGCACGGGCCGCTGGGCTGAACCAAACGCTGCAACCCAAGAGTTGCATCGTCCTCTTTGGCAAGTTGCAAGCCTTTTCTGGAGTCCCTGTACTTCCTGTTTCTTTTGTTTAATAATAATACGAATGATAAATAATAATAACAACAATAATAATAATAACAATAATAATAATTAAAGGAAGAAAAAAAAACTTGAAGCCTCTTGGGTCCCACGACAGGCAGAAAGCCAAACGCTGTGGCCCGATTCGGACGTCTGAGCCCGGTGCCATGTTGTGATTCAGGAAGTCGGCCAGGGGAATCAGCATGGTGCTCTCCCGTGTGCCCTGAGAACAAAAACACAATACCGCCAGTGACGGGAGAGCGCCCCCAGCTGCACTGAACATTTTGCCAGCAGACTCTTTGACTGACTCCGGCAAACGACGGAATTTCCAAAGCCAAAGCCGGAGGTTTGCAACTTGTGTCTGTGGCTCAAAAACCGGGTCCAAAATGGAACCCTGATAAATGGAAAGGTAGACCTAAACCCCAAACCTGCGCTTTGCCCCAGCTGCTTAATTTTGAGCTACAACCATTTGTGTCTTTTGCGGAATCGGTTTGCTCCACGCCGTCAAGCCCAAAAACGGAAAAGCCGCGCGGATCCTCAAAGGCGAAGCCGCGAGTCTTCACCACGCTCAGGGCCCACCGCAGGTCCTGGACTTGCACCCCATTGGAGGGTTACTTGGCTCTGCAGGGATGGGACCTGGAAATATGTCCACGGAGGGCCCTGATTTTACCAAAGTCACCAGAAAGTGGAAGGGACTAGGGGAAAGCTCCATTTCTGACTTTCACCCCTAGAAACGCTCAAAATCATGACCCCAGCTTTTGGGTTTACGAAAAACGAGAGCCCAAAATGCGGAGACCGTTTTAGAATTTCAGGTCGATTCGCTTTGGGCCAGCGAGTTGCTTGGTTGACCCCTTGGTTGACCTCCGGAGTGAAGAATGGCCGAAGAGTGTGAGATGCTCTAGTGATCATGGCGGTTCAATGGTCCTTCTGGCAAGAAAGTTGTCCAAGGTGCGAAATCTTGGGTCGTGTCAGGTTGAAGGGTTTGGACAAGCTTCCGTTTAATTAAAAATAGCTGTCCTTTTGGCTTAAAGTAGATGGAACCACCAGGTAAACCAGGGATCGCCCGCTTTTTTTTTGCAAACCAAAAAGGACACCTATGTTGAAAGTTCTGTTCCAGATCCCAAGCTTTGCTTTGGCCAAAGCCTGGGTTCGGTCAAAACTCTCCGCCTCTTTGGTCACCGCGCGGCCACGCCAGAGGTTGGGATTCATCTGGCCGGCATCGAGTTCCGTGAGTTGACATCGGGACCTCTGAACATGGGCAACCTAGTTGGCTTCCCAACCAAAAAATCCCGCCAAGGCTCCATGGTTGACTCGCTTGCCCAAAGGACCTGCAAATACAAGGTTAGCCTTTTGGGGCCTCTACTAAACATAGACCAAAAAGGGAAAACCAAAAGGTCAAAAGGTCAAAAGGTCGGAATTGAACAACTGAGTTAAAGGACAATCGTTCTGGTGTCGTTTTGCAATACTAAAGAACAACGCGGGGTCTCATTCCTAATTTTTGCACACGCCCACATGGATGAAATGGCGCCGAACTAAACTTGCACAATGGACTACCAAACTGTGTCAGCTGCTCATTTACTCTCACTCTGCAAGGTGTCCAACCATGTGATCAAGGTACTAATAAAGAGCCCGTCATAATATGTACCGGTCAGCGTCTCAAAGCAAACCACAACAATTGGAGACAAGGGAAAATAACAAAGTACAAATGTTTACATGCTTGTCTGATCCCTGAATACAAGCTCAATTGAGCAAGGCAGGGACGAAAGTAGTGCACTGCACAGTCACAGACAAGCGTCTACCACAGTCTTACAGGACTCCTGGTAGCTCCCTAGCTCCCCCTTGAACAGCAAACTCGAGCCTGTCGGGTTGCATGCTGAAACCACGGTTCTTTCAGCCACCTCCTTTCCGCTTCAGAGGGCTCTCTCGGGTCGCGCTCTCTCTGTCTCTCTCGCTCTCTCTCTCTCTCTCTCTCTCTCTCTCTCTCGCGCCTCCCGCACCGCCCGGCCCATGCAATCCAGATCCTCGAACCTAAAGCAACAGCGAAAACCCGCAAGCCTTGGGGCTTGTTCGTCTTTCGAGGGGGGCGCGCGTGAGTTGTCCCTTTCTGCTTGCCGCATAGGTTTTATTGATTGAAATGGTTTTCAAGGTCCGACAGGAAACCGACCTTTGGAGGGAGTCCACCCATGTCTTGCAGAGAGCCGGCTGTGCACGAACTGCTTTCCAGATAGGTCTGGCACCAGTTCTGCACAATGTAGGAGAAGAAGGTCCTCTTCACCAGCTCCAACTGCCTGCAAAGTTGTGGGTTGGAACTTCGCTCGAAGTCTGCCAGATGCAAGCTACCAACATGTGATCCAACTGAATTTGAGTGAGGCCATGTAGAGTTCGATCGCAGCCTTTTGCAAAAAGAGTCACTGAGATGCCGAAAGTACGGTGCTTTTGGAAACCCGAAGAGATGTCCCTGGATGTCGGGGTCCCAAAAAAAAAAATGGGGGACCTTTGGCAAGAGCCTCTCATTCACCCGGCCCTTCGAAACCCAGAAGTCTTTCTTTTTGCGTCGGTTTGAAAGCTGTTCGCCCACTGCCTCAATTCAAAGCTTGACACTTGAACACTTTGGTGTAAACCTTTCGTAAGATACTGCTCTCATGCTGACGACTTGTGTTTCCCCCAGGTTGCCATGTATAGGGGTCCCGCCGAGCGGAGACCTCTTCTTCTTCTTCTTCTTCTTCTGCTTCTTCTTGGCTTATTACCTAAGGAGGTTCTTGGTCAGGATCCACATAGGCCAGTGACCGATCGATCGCAATCCACAGCCCACCTCTCGGAAAACCAAAGCACCTAAGTCGGGAGAGGCACGTGAAGTCAGCTGATAGCTCTTAGGGATTTGCAACTTGTGCATCTCGTATTCCTTTGCTCTGAGCCGCACGATTTTCAATCCTCAGTAGACAGTTGCTTCCCTTTCCCCGTCGGGACGCCTTTTTTCGACGCTTCCGGAAAGAGCACTGCCAGCGGAAACTACCCAAGGATTCCGCATTCTTCGATTCAATGAGCCCCTCGGGCCATCCTCGAAACATCCCAGCAATCGCAGCTCCCCCAAATCACCCGCGCGTCTAATGTCGAGCCTCTAAGGGTTCTTTGGTGGTTCCCTTATCCCGGGTGTAGACCGGGTTGGTGGGCAAAAAAATGAGGCGTCGAGTCTTGAGCCGCGAACGCGACAGTTGCTCCCGGGTAGGCAGGCTATGGCAATGACTCCCGAGCAAGCGCCAGTGGGCTTGACACATCGCGGCCCCGACTTGAGAACTGGATGCGCGGCCCTTCGTCTTCCCTTTACTTGGTGGCTAGCCCCGTGTGCAAACTGCTTCACTTGTCCGTGGGGCATGTTCCACGAAAAAGCGCGACTGACTCTGACGTCACCGGCCACTCGCCCTCCGGAACAGCTGTGCAGCTAAGCAACATTGGCAAAAGTGAGCGGCAGGAGCTTGATCCAGTCTGCCAAGACGGAATTCGGGTTGACCCTGCGCAGAGAGTGTGCAACTTGCGGTCACAAGACCCAGCAAAAAGCAAGGCGAATTTCCCCAAAAGGCACCCCTGGGTTTGCTCCTATGGTGTTTATATATATATATATATATGTATATATATATATATGCATATACACATATCTGCGAGCATGTGTGTGTGTGCCAAAGCAAAGGGCCCCCAAAATGGTGCTTCTTCCGCTGTCCCTTCAAACCCCAACAGGGCAAACCCTCACCCAACAAAAACCGACGCACCCAAATGGCTGTGGCTCGAAGAGGTGTACCACAAATGGCACCTTGGTAAGTGGATCCCCCCAGCGGCCTTTCCAGCGCCAAGCCAAGGCCCAAGACCGCATGCGCGTCGCAGCTATTGTGCCTGGCTGGCACCCGAAACTGTGGGAAGGAGTGGGGTTGAGGCTATAGGTGTCCTCTTCGGAAAATTTGATGGGTTTCCCTGGTAGATGATGGAACCACCAGGTAAACCAGGGATCGCCCTCGATTTTTCCACCCAACCAAAAAGGACACCCATGGTTGAGGCTAAGAAGTGGGAGATGAAACTCTGAGGGGTTTTTCCTCCTGGATCCAGCGTCATTTTGTGAATCACATGACCCCTGACCCGAGACTCTCAGGACTCGGCTCCGGTCACTTCCCTCGCCAACTCGCCAAGAAATGCCCCAGGATCAAAGCTCCATCGGTGCGCCTGGAAGCTTCCATAACCGCAGAGTGAACGCTTTTCAGCGAGAAGACCTGGCCGGTCATAGGAAAAGCACGGCGCAGGAGGGCCACGGAATCCTTGCGAGTCCGAAGACCTGAAATCTTTGCTTCTCATTCTCCGCAAGAGTCACGGGAAGGGGGTGTCTTTTAGGGAACACCCCCCCCCCAATTTCTTTGTGGTTTCCAAGGGAAATCAAACGGAAAACTGATGCCATTTTGTAGGTGGTTCGGGGGGGTCCCCGAAAAAACGACAAAAAAAACATATAGTTCGGAAAGGTAAATTGCATTTGCCCGCACCCCTCGAAACAGCCTCGGTGTTTCATGTCTGGTGAGGGCGCTCGGCCACGTTTCCTTTTGCCATCTCTCCATCCCCAAACGGAACTCAGGGTTCCACTTTTGGAAGGTGGACTCAAACCCAGGGGTGGCTCTTTTTTGCCAAAGGGAGAACCGCCGGGTGAAGCGTCTTCCTTCCAAATGGCCGGGTGCAATTGATGCAAGGACTGGGCCCAGTCTATCGACTGAAGAGATGCTGCAACTCTGAACTGCCAACAAATCAAAGCCAATAGGCAGCCCTAGTCCGAGCGAGGCCGTTGCTGGGGGTGCAGCCGCTCAGCTCACCAACCAACCAACCAACCAACCAACCAACCCACCAACCAACCCACCAACCAACCCACCAACCCACCAGCCCCCTGGCGCCGGGGCTTGTTTAAAAAAAATGCAGCACCGGTTCCTGGCTCAGGGTCCAATCAAAAAGCAGCAAGGCCAAAATACTGGGAATGGACTCATTTCCTCTGGGAATGGACGGCAAGCTAATCTAAACCAGAGCCCATCTATGTCTGCCAACCTAGCCCAAAAGGAACTCAGAAACAAGCAGAAAAAAGAGCGCCAACAAAAAAACGGAGAGGGAGTTCTCACGATGCCTGGCTTTAGTTGGGCTTTTCAGGGGTGAAACGAACCCCCCCCCCTTTCCCCCCCCACCGCTCGCCAAGGCCAAAAAAACTCCCCCGACTCGCCTGTGTGGAGGGCACTCTCAGCACCGTGGAACGCGCGGAGAGCGCCCTAACGCGACGACGTGGGCGTTTCTTCGTTTAAACCTGCTGGGCGCTTTGCTTTTTTTTTTCTTCGTTTTTGTTTAATGGGGGAAGGAGAAAGGGAATGAAACCTCGCGCTGGTCCAGCAAAAAGGGGAATGATCGGCGAGGGCTTATGGGGGTCATTCCCTAAAACTTATTCCCGGCTGAGCACCGGCAAGGTGGTTCCTCGTTCAGATTTCAAAAGAGATGAGTTCAAGTGAAGCCGTCTATCTTTTTGTCTAAAAGAGAAACCATCTGCTTTTTGGCGGCCACGGCAAACATAATTCGCAAAACTTGCTCGCAAGGAACGCACCCGGAAAACAGAGGAAAAAAAGAAGCGCCCAGGCGCCTGTGGAATTGAGCGAGTCTCCCATGTCCCCCAAATCCATTCACAACAAGACTTCTGGGCTACACTCGCCATTTTCCCCCTCGCTCTCTCTCTCTCTCTCTCTATCTATATGTATATATATGTATATATATGTGCATGGCTGTGGCTCAACAAAGTGGTACCCGTTTTCGGGCTCTTTGGGAAACAAAAAGAACAAAGCCTGCGCTTGCCCCAGCTCTTTAATTTCGAGCCACATATCCCTCCCTCCGGGAAGCGATTCAATCCGATCGAACACTTGCGAAGGACCGGAGGCCCATCTTCGCTTTTCAACCAGACGCGTCCAGGGCACCAGCCCGAAAACCACCCAAACCAAACCAACCCCAACCAACCCCAAAAAGCACCTGAAATTCGAGCCGAAACCAACCCTCAACCCGGGGACCTCGATAGATTGAGTTTCTGGTTCCATCTCAGGAATGAGAAAGGGTTCATTGAAGGCGGGTTTAGGCTTGGTTTAAGGATGTTAGGGGATGGTGAACAAGGGTCATTCCATGTTTCAGTCCCCGTCTATCGAACCAGCAAGTCTCAACCAAGGACCTCCCAGCCATGCCCCATGACCACTTGATTGCAAGGTAGATTCCCATGGCCACTCACAGATGTTGGGCAATCAAACCCATCAACTGCCGCTGAGCCGTCCTCTCCCCTGCTAATAGTGAATAACTTCTAGTGGCTTATATGGAAACGACTATAAACCTAACAACCTAAGGAACCGCCAAGCCCAAATGCGTCCCCTCAAGTGCTCCAACACAAAGACATTCCGGGTTGACGAATATTCTGGCCCCAAAAAGACCATGGCTAACTTTTCCCATTTGGGAAGTATCATCATGCTGAGTGTTTTTGTTCATTATATAAAAAGGGTCTTTTTTATGCAAAGACACCTCCCCTCGATTTATGCCCCTCGGCTTGCGCCTGGAAGCTACCGCGCCGGTGCGCCCCCCGGACACGTGGCGGATGTCGAAGTGGACCGTGGCGCCCCTGGCCCGGAGATCGCCCCCAGGTCGAATTGGAGGAGGAGGGGTCGACACTGGAGATCTCCATTTATAGTAACCCATAAGGGGGGCATACCATTTTAGGGGGGTCCTTTTATAGAAAAGATGGTATAGAAAATTCCATGATTTTTATAGGGAGGTGTCCCCTGGAGTTCCATTCTCTTTTTGGGGAAGCCTAGATAAATGGAATCGAGGGACCCCCTACCCTCTCCCCTAAGGTAGGGGGGATGCCCGGAGTTGACCTGGTTATTACCGGCAATCCAACCAGCCGCCTTCGAGGCTGGCGGAAGCTTGAGCGAATTTTACACGGACATCCAAAAAGGTTCGAGCGAGTTATTTTTGTTGCCCCATGCAGTCGTTCGAAACCTCCTTTGAAGCCGGCCCCAAGAGCTTTTGTTTAAGCGAAATCATGTTTGGCCATCTTTGCCTGGCAGTCGTTCTTTCCGGCCGTTGGCTCGGGTCTTTCCCAAGCTTTCGCGCGAACATTGGAGATCTTGATGTTCTCCCGGGTTTCGACGGTTTGGCTCCCGAAAAATCCTCTGTTCCTCTGCCGAAAAGGCAAACCCTGCCGACACCTAGGCCTAGGCCCAGAGAAACGTCTGTACTGCAAGGGGTGTGCTCGCGAACAATAGGCACCAGCATCAGGCCGAACCTCTGTGCATGTTCCCTTTTCAAGCAAGAACAAGTGGGTTCCCAATCGGAAACACTCAACTCACCAGAGAGGTGAATGGTGGGACCTTTTTGTGTGGTTTAAAATCACCTTTCGTGCTCTCAGGAGTCGAAATGCGGAGAGTTCACATGGGAAGCCCCCTTTGCACGGGAGTCGCCTTGCTTCAACGCATGTCGCACCCTAACCCAGGGCTCCCGACCAGAAGGAACTCAACTAGAATGAGCACAAGATGCGAGGGGAGATATTTGCATTCTGAACCCGGCAGGCAAACCCAAAACGGGGTGCATCGCTTCAAAGGCCTTCGCACCATGTCTGCCACAAAGTTCCGCCGCCGTAGGTCGAACTGGCACGGGCAACCCCCCCAAGATGTCCTTTCGGCCTGCCCTTGAAAGAAGGAGGTACCCACTGAACAACAGGCCCCCTCCCTGAGCGTCCATTTTCAAAGCAGACCAACGGAATTCTCGACCGAGCCTTCTGAGAAACGGTAGATGTAGTTATCCACTTCTGTAAAAGTGATCACATGCGCCCGAATGACTCACTCAGCTGCTAAGAAGAGCAAAATGCAACTTCCCAGCCCACCTCGCCCCGGAAATGAGCCCAAGCGCCTGTCCAAAGCAGAACCTTGTTCACAAACAGATATCTAAGAACCTTTTGCTGGGCTGTTCAACTTTGTGCTTGGGTTGGCAAATCCTGATCTTTTGCGCCAGGTCGAAAAGACCAAGGGTTGGCAAATCCTGTGAATAGCTCAAAGGCAAATCAGAAACCCTTGGTATCGCCGCTGTGGAGACAAAGCCTGGCTCCTTCTTCAGCATGGCGTGAACCATGTGGCTGGTTGTCCAATCCATTTCGCACCGTTCAGAAACCCAACGGTGTTTGATTCAATTTCCCAACAAACACCATGGTGTTCAAAAAAAAGAAAAAGAAAAAAACGCTGCATGTCTCTCGATCTTAGAGACATCCAAGGATCCAAGGATCCAAGGATCGAAAAAAAGGTCCGGCCAACCGCCGAAACAGTGCGGCGTCCCAGACCAACGACAGGCTCCAAGATGGTGACCTCTTTCCCACGGTGGATGGACGGAATCCGATTCGCACCACTTTGAGACCCTGGTTGAAACCACTGTTTGTTGGTATTTACGTTGGGAATCGAATCATTTCAGGGTTTCTTGGGTGGTGTAGGATTTCGTCCCCCCACAGCATGGAAAGGGAGAGGCAATCAGAAGGAAGACTTCCAAAACCCGATCGATCCTTAGCTTCCATGAGTCTTGGAACTCGAGGTGTTTTTTCCAAATGAAACAAAGCCACACCATCCAAACGGGTGGGCGCCGCTCGGTCCATACCCGGGGTTTATATAAGAGCAACGGACAAAATGATTGTTTCTCCCACACAACATGAGACAATTGGGGGCAGGTGACCCAAAACAAACAGTACCAACATGTTTGGCAGCAACTCGGAGGTGAAACGGTCAAAGCTCCTTAAGCCATGGTCATGGCGCCGTTTTTGCAAACCTTTACCGTGGCTGTCTAAAATCTCTCAGGGACCTGTTCTTGATCATCCCTACCAACCTCAAACGGCCAAAACAAAAAGAGGCGCCCATTTCACCATATGCGTATCGGCAGCTTTCCCTTGGTTTTCCAAGCCCCCCCCCCCCCCAATTTGTGGGGCACTCCATACCTTCGGCCCGGCGTTTCAGCCTGAATGCCTTCCTCAGTCTCTGTGCAGCATCTGTCGTAGGTGAAGACCTGGGCTGAAAGCCCAAGCTGAGCCGATAGGACGAGCCGCAACGCTTTGCACATGAGTGTGGGTCAAAATCGCCAAAGAAATGTGACTACCGTACTTCTCCGTGCAACCCTACTGCGGATGGACGGAATCCATTTCGCGATGATTCCCCTGTAAACACCAACAACCAATGGTTCCGGTGCGAAATGGATTTCGTCCATCCACAGTGTTGTTGCTGCTGGACTTGTTGATGTTCTTGTGTAGATTGGCCCTCTTGTTGAGTGCCGAGGTTGCCATGGCGCTGATGGGCTTTGTGTTAATGTCGCAGCGTAACCTTGCTGAAGTACCCGCTCACCAAGGAACATGACGCTCGGGGGGGTCCTGTTTTGGACCATTTTCCTTGTAAAGGCACCCCTGTTTGTCAGGTTCCATGTGTTATTTGGGTGGGAGGGTACCTTGTCTTGGTGCTGCAATTGCTTCTGCATCTGGACCTTGAGTTGCGGTGTAGCTTCGAACCCCCGAAGGCTTCATATGGTGGTTCTTGACATGGACCTGCGCTTGCCCAGCCATACTGTGGATGGACGAAATGCGATTCGTTTGAGACAATGGGAAGCCACTGTTTGTTGGTATTTACAGGGGACTCCTCGTTCCAGGGTTTCTAAGGTGCTGCGAAATGGATTTCGTCCACCCGCAGTATCGCAAGGGCAGAACACGCCTGCGCGGGCCAAGAGATCTCAAGCCAATCGGGTGCCTTCAGGAGTTTCCAGATCCCGGACTGGGAAGGCCAATTTTCGTGGACAAGGTTCCGGAAAACCTGGCCACTGGACAGGCCACGTTTCGCACAAGTCAGGTTGGTGGATCCCTGGTTCTGAGGGACATGGGAAATTTCTCAAATATGAAACCACCATGCTCCAAACCACCGGCAACAGCGCGCACGCTGGCTGCCTAGTGGAGAGGAAGCATCCCCAGCATCACCGGCATCATTTGGACCCAGCATGGCCTGCTTTTGGGCTGCTGGCTTGGTGCATCAAAGCAGCAAAACCATCCAAATGATGCTGGCGATGCTGGGAATGCTACATCACTGCCACGCAAGAAACAACCACCGATGGGACGTTCCAAAAAGACCAACTCGGGGTCTTCCAAGCTGTCGATTGAGGTCCTCTGTGGCTCAATGCATGGAAGAGCTCGTCTCCTTGCAACTTGGTCCTCAAACACCGCCAAAAGCCAAAATCCAAGCCACTTGGCGGTTTTTCAGGACCATGTTTGCAGGTTCCCAAAAGACCAGCGAAGAAGCGAGCGAACGTGCCCACACAAGCAAGACACAATCATTCCGGACTCGTTATGTGAACCCAAAAGACATGGCGTGCACCTAAGATCTTTCCATGGAATGCCTTTCATCTCTCATTCTTGTTCAAAAAAAAATATACCCCTTGAAGGGTACCTCCAAACGAAAAAATGCGAGAGAGCGAGCACCATGGAATTTAAAGCCCATGGAACCCATAGCCCATGGCCCCTATGGTTCCGCTCCATGGCCGCTCCATGGCCCCCTGGGCCGAGTCCCGGGCCGAGTCCCAGCACAGCGGGTTGCCCTTGGCGCCCGGGGCGCTGCAGCAGATCTCGGGGGTCCACCCGCCCACCTCAGCTCGAGCGACTCCGAGCGCCGAGCCGAGCGAGCGACGAGCCGAGCCGAGCGAGCGGCGCGAGCGAGCCCAAGGCACCGAGCTGAAGAAGGCGATATGAATCCATAGGTCTCCTTTTGGGGGAAACTTAGATGGGTCTTTTTTCTGGTAGATGATGGAACCAGGCAAACCAGGAATCGAAACCCCTCGACTTTTCAAACCAAAAAGGAGGACCTGTGGATGCAAACCAATCGCCCCAGCAAAGCGTCTCAGCAGGGACTCAGAGCGCAGAAGCTGAAAGTTACTCTTGAGACGGGCCAAGCCTTGGTGGTTTCAGACCTCGCCTTTTTGGGGCCAGTTGTTAAGGACCTTCCGTTTAGTGGGGTGAGCTGATTCGCAGCTGTTCTTCAGGATGGCGCAGATCAGCTGGGGCTTACTTCTTGAAACAGGTTTAGCTTTAAAAGGACTGTTTTCCGAGTTGGTGTTTTTTGCTGGTACCCCTTGTTGGTTGGTTTTAAGGAAACCAACATGAAACCAACCATTTTTCCGCAGCTGAAAGCTATGGGGTCGATAGGCCCAAATAGGCTCGTTCGGGGTGGTTTGGGGCAGCTTCAGGGAGGATTCCGGAGATTCCGTTTGAGAGGGTTCCGGGGGCTCTTGCGGATACCTGGACTTGTTTTTGATTCTATTTTTGTTGCTCCTTGTTTCTCAGAACAGGGGACCCTGGTAGATCGTTGTTTGCGCATTTTGAGGCTTGCAGTCTTCCCATGGGTCAGCCATGTCAGTTGAACTTGATCTAACACATACAGAGAAAACATCTTGAGCCAAAAAGAAAAAAACTAAATTATCGAGCCCCAAAACAACAACAAAAGAAACAAAAAATGGTTTAGAAACTCTTTGGTACACAACCCGGTTTTTGTTGTTTTCTCGAGTTTGTGTTCTTCTTCTTTGTGGTTTCCTTGAGGTGTGTTTTCTTGCTCCTTTGGGTTTTCTCGAGTTTGTTTCAATTGTGCGGTCTTCTCAGAGTTTTTTTGGTCCTCTGTCTATGATGGACTTCTGTTCTCGGGTCTGCTTTTTGTCGTCTGGGCAAATTGTAAGAATTACCAGCTTGTTTGTCTTTCCTTCTTAGATTCTATTTTATTCCAATTGAATTCTACTTAGTCCTAGTTGTACAGGAACTCCTATCTCAAATCAGGTTCACAATACGAACTCTCCATTCAAACCTGAACCCTTTGCTTTTTGCCGCTTGGAGTCTTGATGGCATTCGCTGGTTCTCAGGGAATGAGACAGCTCGAACTGCGCCATCCTGAAGGGAATCAGCTGAGAACTAGCTAGCTAGACCCCTAAGAGTGGGCTGAAGACATTTCCCCTTTCAACATCACCAAAAGCCAAACGCGGGGAAGGTCTTTGGGGGGGGGGAGGAGGTCCATTCAAACTGAAGCCTTTGTTGCTTTTTGCCGCTTGGAAGTGATGTTGAAAGGGGAAATAATTCAGAAGGAAAAAAAACATGGCCCTTGCAGGGAAAAATTGGCCCCCGAACGACGTTGTCTAAAACCCAAAGGTCTAGGGGTACCTTCCATGTCCATTCTTTCCAGGATCCTTTCTAGAAAACCTCCAGAAACCCATGAACACGGACCCGGCTTCCGGAAAGAAGGGTTGATCCGAATGGACAGGGAATCAGCCCCTAGAGTTTGAAGAAGAAACCCGCCCGAAGAAATCCTCCGGACCCTGATGGACGAGGAATCAAGCCCTAGGGGACGACCTGGGCCCCAGCCCAGCAGTCCGTGGAGCTGATGGCAGCCGCACCAGGCACCAGCAAAAAGAGCCGCCTGGGGCGCATGGCGACTCATGGCGACTCAAAATGGACTAAAACCTGGGGTCCATATCCTGGTGGTCGTTTTTCTCTTCTTCTTTTTTGCGGGGGGGGGGGGGTCATAATATACTGTGGATGGTTTCGCGAAATCCAGAAATCGCACAATAGAACTCAGAAACCCAACGGTTTCTGATTCGACTCTGGTAAATACCAAACAAACGTTACGGTTTCCCTTGGACGTGGTGCGATTTCTGGTTTTCGCAACCCATCCACCGTATGGGGGGTGCTCAAAAGAAGCCTGGCCCTGAAAATTGATGATCCCTTGGTGTCCCTTTGCTTGGGCTAAAAACGGGGGGCTGTGTTTAGGGCACGGATTTGAGTTGGCCCGTTGGTGGACATCAGAATTCGGGTGGAAAGTCATGTCCAACCACTTTGGAGACGTTCCTTCTTGAAGTTCACTGCTCCCAAACATGAAACACCTGCAAGGTTTATCTACCGTGCGGCCGTGCGGGGCGTGTACTGTCGCTTGTGTTTAAGAAAATGAAGCTGCCTTTCAACCGACCGTCCAAAGGCGCAGCGATGGTGGACCTTCCGTACCGCGATTTGAGCAATAGACAACATCAGCGAGACCGGAAGCTGTCCATGGGAAAGTACGTGGATGGACGAAATCCATTTCGCGCCACCTAAGAAACCCTAGAATGATTCGATTCCCCTGTAGATACCAGCAAACAATGGTTTCCCATTGTTTCCACGTGGTGCGAATCGGATTTCGTCCATCCACAGTATGGCTGGGCACGCGCAGGTCCATGTCAAGAACCACCATCTGAAGCCTTCGGGGGTTCGAAGCTACACCGCAACTCAAGGTCCAGATGCAGAAGCAATTGCAGCACCAAGACAAGGTACCCTCCCACCCAAATAACACATGGAACCTGACAAACAGGGGTGCCTTTACAAGGAAAATGGTCCAAAACAGGACCCCCCCGAGCGTCAGGCTCCATGTGTTCCTTGGTGAGCGGGTACTTCAGAAAGGTTACGCTACATCAACGCAAAGCCCAACATCAGCGCCATGGCAACCTCGGCACTCAACAAAAGGGCCAATCTACACAAGAACATCAGCAAGTCCAGCAGCAACAACACTGTGGATGGACGAAATCCATTTCGCACCGGAACCATTGGTTGTTGGTGTTTACAGGGGAATCATCGCATTCCAGGTTTTCTGAGATCGGTGGTGCGAAATGGAATTCGTCGAAATCCACAGAAGCAGCCCACGCCACGGCCAATAGCAGGCAGCCCTGGCACGCCATGTGCCCTGGCAACCCCGGCATGGGGCCACTGGGACCCCTGCCCTCGATGATTCCTCCAATTGAGTCATCATCAAAACCAATCGGTATTAAAATGGTCTACCCAAAACCATGTAAATGGAGAAGGCGGCGCAGGCACCCACTGATGACAAGGTGTCCCGAACCTTCCACCCGAATCGGTGTTGAGGTGGCTGAATTGACTGGATTCCTTCTGAAAACTTGCAGGCAGAGTGGACTTCCCTCACAAATGCGCAGCCTCGCCTTGCCATCCTCAGGCTAGGCCGCGCAATGCCTGGGACTCACAGGGCTGCCACTGAGTCGGTGTGCCAAATCTTTCGATTTTTGGGGGTCCATTCAAAAAGATCGATGTGCGGCTGAATGCCGCCCAAGTTGCTGAGAGCCTCCCATGGTTCGTCCAAGAGGATCACTGATCACCAAGCAAATTCTGCTTTCGGCATCTGCAACAGCCATTCCAGGGTCCCCTGAGCCACATGCCCCAAATACTCTTCCGAAACGTCGAGTCAAGAGCCTTGATGCGACTGGCTTGGAACATGAACGAAGATGCACTCTGGACCATGTGCCCCGGTGATATGTCTTGAGCACGTGGCAAGCCAAAGCAAGCACCTTCCCCCCTCCGCTGTTTGCCTTTTTGACGGCTTGTGAGGACTACTTGGCTCCCAAGTTGGCTTGGTCAATGCGACTGCGCCGTGACTATCGAGAATGTTCTGGAGTGACAAGCCTACAATTCTCTAAAAGATTCTGGTCTGCCGTGACACTCCAGGTAGCGTCATGATTGACCCTCGGAAAAGGAAATCAGTGACCCAAACATTCGCAGCAACAGGCGGTCCGAAACTTGGACGTACCTACTTGGCAAGTGCGTTACAACCATGGTGATACTTTACCCCCTTGACCCCGCATGGAGCCCAAGGCTCCCTTGGCCGCATTTCGTAGAGTCTGCCTGCAAGGCACCTCTGTCTGTCGGAGGCTTGCCGGACCAAAAAAGAGAGCAAGGCGAAGGCTCCAGAGGTGCTCATGCATAGGTGTCCTTTTGGGAACATAGATGGGGCTCTGGTAGATGATTGAACCACCAGGTAAAGCAGGGCCCTCTATTTCTCAACCAAACCAACCAAAAAGGACGCCTATGTGCTCCTGGTGCAACGAGGGAATCGCATCCCCCTCCTGGGCGGGCATACCGGGTGGAAGATTCTCCGAGGCGCCCAGGAAACAGAAGCCGCCGCTTTTGGCGGGCAGAGCGCAGAGCAGAACGCAAAGCAAAGCGCCCAAAGCAGAGCGCACGGAGCACAAAGCAAAGCGCGCAAAGCCAAACAAAACACGCCAGAGCGCTTTGAGCAGAGCAAGGAGGCTTGGGGGTAGGCCTGCAATTCCCACCTCAGAGCACCCTGAAATGCAAGGAACACTGGCACAGCGCGCCAAAAGGCGCCACCTGCATGGCCAGGCGAAAAATCCCGCGGGGCTAAACCAACTCGCTGCGCGAGACCTCGTTTTCCTGAGCCAAGTCAAGAGAAGCTCCCGCTGGAAACCTGGATCCCCCAAAGGACGGTTTCTGTTTCTGCCTTTGTACCACTCTTCTTTGGGTCAAGGGCAGAAAGGGTTCCTTGCGGTCCAGGAAGCTTTCGTGATCAAAGGCGACACCTCCTTTGCGAAACGGCGAGCCTCCAAAACGGGCACCTTGGATGGTCTTTCGGGGAACCCGGAAAGGATGCCAACTGCTGGAAGGGTCCAACCCAAATTTGGATCTGGTGAGCCCCAGATCCAGCTGCAAAACTCCCAGTCAAACCTGAAATCATCAAAGTGGCATCCGAACCCTCGCCAAAGTTTGCAATTTTGAGACCCCTGATGATATCTTCACTTTCAGGGCCCCAGTTTGCCCCCCCCCCCCCACCACAGCAGCCACTGCCTAATCTCTTCCCCTTCCCCTTTTCCACTCTTTTCTCTGCGTGCCAGGCTGGATTGGGTGATGTGCAGAGGATCACATTGACGTCTAATGTACTGTGAACTTCCCCATTCTTCGCCAAAGATCCGATGCGATTCCCCCTGACCCCCAACAAAACACAAGAAAACGAAATGGAAGGACTTTGAAAAGAACGATGGCTTCGAAGAATGGGAAATTCGACGGAGATTTATTCATCCAGCCTTCAAGAAAATAAACTCCCAAGAGTTCATGTGCAGTGGTCACAAAAGGGATCCTCCTTCACAAGCTGCTCAATTTACTGGCGAGCTCCACTGCACTGGGATGTCGAAACAAGCCGAAACTTCAGGCCGAAACTTGCAACGAAGAAACCATCAAATCTTGCTTCTCGGCGAGCGGGGCGCGAGAGAAAACGCGAACCACAAAGCAGCAGCGCCGAAATGCAGCTCGGGAAAGGCGCTGGGATCTCCTGTCCGCCTTGCGACTAGGCGCAAAAACGCTGCTGGCGCCCGGAAGAGTCATGCGAACGGCAATTCATGAGTCAGGATGTGTGGCGAAGGACGGTATCGCTCCTATTCGGGATCAACATATACATATATATATATATAGTAGTAATATATACATGTGTTGTATAACATTTATGATATGTCATATGCATATACCCGATCATCGCAAAAGATGGCCCTGTTTATGGCTGGCCAGAGGAACCCGCTTTTGAATAAATATCACAACTGCAAAAGATCCACGTGAAAAACTCCTCAGGTACTTTGGTTCCGGCACAGTACATCCGTTGGTTTGAATACAGTTACAAACGGAGGAGGAGAAGGGCACGTCGTTGTACCTTTAAAGAGCCCTGACCGCCCCTGACACCAGAATTGCCGAATCAAGAGTCGCGCCCACGGTGGACGAATAAGGACAAAAATCGGAGATATCCCGAAATCGGCAAGCTCGCGAGAGCTCGAAAGTTCACCATCTGCTGGCATTTGCTAGTTGGGAGCATCTTGTCTACTTGCAGGTTCGAGTGTTGTTGGGGCTGAGGCGCTAACATCAAGGGCTACGCAAACACCAACACCTGACCGCTGCCATCATCACTGAATAGAGTTAAAAAAATTGCCCCCCCATTCTAATTCTTCCGGCCCTTGTACTATGCCAGCACTTTGCTGCGAAGGCTCCAAACGGAGCAGCTTTCATTGACACGAATGCAAAACCCGTCAGCTGGCAACCGATCAAGGCGGGCAGCTTGGGTTGCGCTGTCCAGGGCGGCCACATACCTCCTGACTTCAAGGCCTTACTCTTACAAAGGAAGAAAGTAGAACCAAGAGCTCGCAGGCTGGAAACCAATCGTTTGAAGAGCTTTTTCAGATCCAATCCACAAAATGGTCGGGCTTGGGGAAAGGAACCTGCCTTGTTGCTGTTGGTGGTGGTGAGTGGAAGGGGCGGCGGTGGAGGTGGTGGTGGCGGCGGTGTGGTGCTGCTGCTGTTGTTCTTGGTACTGCTCTTGTTGTTGTTGGTGGTGGTCATACAGTGTATGTATCAGTGTTGTTTTTGCTGGTACCGGCGGCATAGCTGGCCGTGGTGCGTTTTGCTTTTTTGGGCTTCCCCTTTGGGTGGTTTATTTTTTAAAACATTAACACCATCATCATCGTCATCATCATCATCATCACCCTTAAATACGTGCATGGTTGACCTTGGGTGGGGTGGGTGGGGTGGGTTGGGTTGGGTTGGGTTGGGTTGGGTTGGTTGGGTTGGGGTGGGGTGGGGTGGGGTGGGTGGCATACTGCGTCA